TCTGACACACGCCAAAGCCAAAACCAGCCAATGAACTGCGGCGCGTGCTCGAGCGTCTTACACGGACTCCCAGGAGGCTTCATCCACGGATGATGCTTTTTACTCAAAGACAACAAACCAGAACGTCAGGACTGTCGCTTCATTCTTTTCCACTTTTACTTCGGTCTCTCCGGTCTTCATAGATATATAGCTTTTAATTTTCTATTTCTCCAAGTGTGCATATTGTACACTTATTTTGGGGTGAGCTTGGTACCGCGACCTGTGATCATGAGTAATGGCTGAGCGTTTCGCGGTCGGGTGATGATGTTAGCTCCTGTGCGCTTGTTTGGTTCTCCTCTGTTGTGACGGAACATTAATAATCTGCTGGACGCTGCGGAGCGGCTCTGCTGTAGTCCTCTCCTATCACACTTTTCAACCGCAGTGTTAACTCTCCTTTTTTCTTTGTTAGAATGTATCGTAAAGGTCTAAACCATGAACTATCCTTTGTTAATATTTACACCTCACCTGTATTTCAGCAAACTACAATTAAAGAGGGAAAAATCAGTTTTGCTCAACTTACTTTACCTTCCTGGAAGCATACATTGAATGAAATATTATAGTCCAAACATTTGACAGACGTTTGTGTTGTTTAAATACTATTATGGTGTTTATTAGTATTTATAACCTTTATATTTCCGTTTTTAATTTTGCTGTTTTATCAAATATTTCTATACATTTTGATTTTAGTAATTCAACTTAAACATGTTTTAGTTAGTTTACAATTTATTTTATTCTAGCTTTATTTAAATTAATTTTTACGTTTTTATCATACTTTTTTTCATAGAAAATTTTGGTGTAGGATTTTTATTTTTTGGTAACTATTTTCAGTCAGAAATTGCTTGTAAATTTCACAAATAATTACAAAGAAACGCACTGAATTAAATGTGAAATTTTAAAGTAGAAAAATGTAAATTGTATTTTCTTAGAAAATATACTCAAATGATTATTTTACCATTTTTTACAACTTTAAATGAGTGTTATTTACAGTCTAGTTCACTGGATGGGTTTTGAAATGTCAAACCAATAGAAGAAGCGTTGCAGGAGTCAGTATTGTGTGTGTTTGAGGTTAGTTATTAGTTAATGTGAGAACTTGAGAACTGGTTTGGTTCATTCACTGAAAACCAGCAGAACAGCAGCTGATTCAGAAGTGAGAAAAGATTCAGCCGCTTGATCTGATGAACGATGATCAGACGTTAATAAGAGGGACTGGATATTGCGGCGGGAACTAGAAAGCTGATCAGCTAGTCTCTGGTTTAGTGGCCGGGCTGGTAATGACTCGCTCATCAGTTCAATTCATCATCATCAAGGCAGATCCTTTGCATATCAGCTGACTTAATGCTTTTTTAATGTTTGTCTGATTCTGGATGACAGTGTAGTTGATGAAACTGATCCTCCAACTACTGCGCTTTAATTAGCCCAGATTAATCGTTTGA